AACCTGCATCCCTGGATTTTACAGAATGAAACAGGGATGCAGGAGAAGATGAGTGTATTTGGGAACAATAATCTTGGGAATGACAAATGAACTTCTATTAAGAATTTAAAATAAAAAACCTGAACCAAACACCAAAAATCCTGAAAACAAACTCCATTAATTTAACTAGAAAATTACAAGAGGATGGTAGCGGTCTAGGCAGCTAAGTGGGGCTACACTTCCTAATAAACCAAAGGAAACTTTCTTTACTTGTCACAAGTTATTAAAGAGATTTCAAATTCTGCAGAATTTGAAAGTAACAATTTTATCACAATACATGTTAATGCTAGTTATTTTTCCTAAATTGAAATCTTACTACATGGAAGTTGGAAAATTCTAAGACAGACTGTTCTCAATGTTAAAATATATTTTCAGAATAATATTCTGGCATACATTTCCTTTCTTGTTTCTCTCCAAGTGTCCTGGTCACCCAGGTGCACGCTAGAAGACAGCAATATGTCAAATATAGTAGCAACTTTAGTCTGAAATGTTTAAAGTTAAAGTTTATTTATATTCTTTGTAGGAATATCAATAAAAGACCTCAAACGTATCTATATCTGTACATGTACAAGAACCGTCAAAAATTATTCACAGAACAAAAATAAATCTTCTTTAGAACAAACCCAGGTAATGAAATGCAGATATGGATCTCACATACGGAACAATCTAAATGCTACTAGCACAAAAATATGGCTTTAAAAATAAAATAAAATCTTGGGTTTTGTTTTTCTAAGGTGTATTTCTTTCTTGAAATAAAAAATAAATTATTTAGAGCTATCATTGTAAAATAGTTGTGTGTTAACACACTCTTATTAAGGCCCTGGAGATGAAAAACAAAATCAAATTTAGAATGTAAATTCCTCACCGGTGTAACTCAGGTTAATGTGTTGCTGTCTGCTTAAGTTAATATAACTAGGAAATGTCTAAGCACCAGTCAAAATTTAACCTAATTTACTATTTAACTTTTCTGAAGGTGGTCATTGAGTCAATTAGTATTTAACCTTTTGTTGAACTGGGAAATTGAAATGTTTCCCTTGAAAATTTGGAAATCACATAAAATGATATTTACACATAAATATCTGTACCCCCACAAAGATGATGGAGGTCCATAAAACACAACTTCTGCGGAAATCTCTCTACAACAACAAATAAATCTGGTTTTAAGTCTCAAACTAAAAAAACACCAAAAACTTCCTAGGGTCAAATGAGGGTATTTAAGTGGAAGATAGAACTGAGTAGGAAATGAAAATGCATGCTGAAATGCAGGCAAAGACTACCGCTTTCCTTTCCTCGGGAGCTCACTGCATTTCCCAAGTCTTGCTGTGTTGGTTACTCAAGCACTTGAGACTTAACTGATCAGGAACTGAAACTACTTATTTCTGGATCCTACTCTCAGATCAGTGATATTCAACTTTATTTCTATGATTCCCCATGGTATCAATGATATCTAGGGTTCTTGAGACAATGCCAAACCAAGTCAATTTCAAGTCGCTTTAACTTATATATACATATAACACATATACTACATTTTTAAGGATGATAGAATGACTGTCATAAAATCTAAAAAACGAGAGCACAAAATCTGAAAATCTCAAAGTTTAGGAATCATTGCTCAATAAAATGGATTAACATTCAGAAAAAGGAAGCCCCAGGAATTCTGTTTTGTGTGGGTGTCTGCATGTGTTGTCTACAGAGACTGCCTTTCTATGTATCTATGTATTTTAAGAGTGGGCAAGGGATATAAATCTTCCTGTTTCCTGGAAACTCTGGGCTACTGAGAAGGCTCTGCTTATGCATTCATTCCCTTATGGGTCATGTCTCTTCCTCAGGTTCTTTCACTCCTCCTAAGATGTTTATTCTATCTCATGCAAATTTCATCACTTTTGTCCTTCCTAAACCCAAGAGTATACATAATTGGGTCATGACAATGAGAATGCTTCTAGAACTAGTAACAATCATTCAAACATGAAAAGAGACTCTAAATAGAAATTCAACACTCCAACATTTCTTGCTTTTAAGAAACTAAATCCTTCAACTGACGTATTGAAAAAACAAAGTATCTCAAATTATCGGCCCCCAGGTAAGGGGTAGGAAGGCAACTATTTACTGCTCTATTTACTGCTGGGGTAAGCAGGAGATTTCACTATTAGACTTGAAAAAGGGAAGGGGAATGGAGAAGGGAGCCCTTTTGGCTTTCCACAGTTGATAGGAGAAGGTGGCCTCCAAAGGTGTAGCTGAAAATGCAGTGAAGCTGTGGCATGTGGCTGTTGGGTTTGGCCCTGTGACAAGTCTAGTCTGGTGTCAAGCATGTGTGGGGCTCAAGGTCACAATAGAGTAGACTGATGGGACTGAGGTAATGCTGAAGAGGGTTCCTTTCCCACGCTCAGTCCCATAACCAGCCTTCTCAGGAACTGCAAGCTAGAGATGACTAAAACTAACCCTTGATGGAAGGGGAAACAAATATGAATGCAAACTCACTTGATGGCAGTGATTTTGCTCTGGGACTTCCAAAGAAGAACTCTGTTCTCAATCTGGTGTACCTCTGAGAACACAGTGAAAGCCAGGGGTCTACAGAACCACAGACGCATAAACAAAGGCCCTGGGTAGACTAAGATCTGAAAAGCTGTACTTCCAAAGTCAAGCTCATTCTTAAGGGCATATAGTTAATGCTCATAGCAGTCTTAGGTAATCTTTCTTTTTCTTTCATAGTCTTAACACCATCACAGAGAAACACAGAAGCAGACCAGTCAGAGAAAGCTAATTCTGACCAACTTGATACCATATGAAAAAAAGCAAAAAGCTATAGCAGCATGATTACCTCACTTTACCACATTTTTCTTACCGTTAGACTGCCATAAATCCAAACAGTACCTTGGTGATAGTGCTTGGAACACGGTAAGTGCTCAAGTGCTTGTTATAGTTACCTAGTTATAATCTCTCCTCTGACATGGCTTTTATTGCAGAGACTCAGGGAATATGATGACCTGATGGAAATGTGACTCTTTTTGCTGCTTCAGCTCAGATTGCTTATTGCTTCAGTAATATAAAAGGAATATGAAGCTCTTTTCTGACTCCTACCAACACTGTCCTCATTAATGGTCAAGTCTGTTGTCAGCTTGACATGCACTTTACAAGCACTTCACCTGAATTCCAAATTCCACTCAACCCTCATCTATCCTGCGACCCACAATGTGGTGTTGTTTTGAGGGAAACAGGAAGTGCAAGACATTGCTATCTTAATCTATTTGCCCCCTCTTCAGCCATGTACCTCCTCCCAGCAAAACAAAGTTATTTACCTATTTGAACTGAGGGAAAGCCAATTAAGAAATAGCTCCATAAAAATTATCACCTGTTGGTGGCTTCTCTTCTTAAAAAATCCTTCAGAGTAAGTTCTACAGATTGCAGCATTCTCTAAAGAAATACTGAGAAAAATGTGTGGACAGGAGTAGGCTCACAGGATAACCTAACATTTAACATCTGTCAACAACTCTGAACTTTTAGTTTACTTGTAATGCTCTTACTATTATTATTTTTTGCTATTTCTTCTTCATTCAAGATAACCTGCTAGTAGAAGGCTGCATAATCTGTCCAAATGTTTTGGGCATTAAATCTTCCAGTGAAGACAGCCCTCTAAGGAGCTCCCATAATGCTAATAAGATACATTCTATCCATCAAAAGCACATTTGATTTTTTTTTTGGGCTTCTCTCAATTCCCAATATAGGTAATTTTATCAGCCCTCTGTAATCCATAATCAGCACTTAAGAGCTTCCAAACCTCAATGGCAAGATATCACCCACATTACATACTTAAGGCCAATGAAACTGACAATTCTCTTACCAGGTTTTCTGTGGCACAACTGAAGGCTTTTACAAAGAATGAATTAAACATGGCTTGAGCTGAGAATAGCCAGAAACAATAATAGATCTATGCTTACATCCCTCCTCCTTCAACAAAGGACACTACACTTTGCAACAGTTAGCTCTTTTTCCTAATAAAATAAGTGATTTTGACCACAGTGTGCCCTCCGCTTGGAGAGAAGGTGTAAGAATTTGCAAAACAAATACCAAAGGTGAAGAAAATGTAAAAGTGCCAAAACAGCTGGATATAAAGTGTGCAGATCAGATAAACACAGTGAGAAACTCCCATTTTAGATCTCTGTCTGGCAGAAACAGGGATTGCTATGAAATAAACGGTTTTAAAAGGTTGTGGCTTATGTGGCCATGGTGAGGTTGCTGAAACATAAAGTCCAACACAAAGATCCACCTGAGAGAGGGCAGAGATCAAGAGGTTGGAATGCAAGCCTGGGACTCGGTGAAAAGGAGGGCTTGGTGTCTGTTGGCATCACTCAAAAGAGGGCACTATACATGTTCCCTTATAAATAATCTGTTGTGGGGAAACACTCACTTGATGCATATGGCTCCCTCAGGTCCTTTTTTTTCCATCCCCTTTTTCTAGAAAAAAAAATTCTTTAAAGCTTATAATTTAAAATCAACATCAACTTATTCGAGAAACATTGTTGCTTTCTCAATATAAAACAACTGCTTAGATCTTGCTTAAAGAGGTTCAGGACCCTTTTAACATTATATCTGAACAGCATAGAAGGCATGAACTTTTCCTATTTGTGCAGTTATATGTACATATGTATGAATATATATGTGTATATATATTTGTATATATAATGTCTGTTTAACATGTAACACGCCATACTTCTGGTAATCAAGGTTGCATTCAAGATGATATTTCACACCTTTGGAAAAAAGGAAATGAATTCATTTCCATGACTTTTTCTGTTCTATAATAATAAGGCTATAGATGACAAGTGTTGAAACTGGGTCATTATTGTCAGATCTACCAGCATGGGAATAACAATTGGAATGTGCCATCCTGACACTTTCAATTTTTTTCTTTTTCTTTTTTTAAACATGAGCAATCATCACTTTTAAGAGAGTGATGCTTCAAATTTGGATTTCCTTTCTTTATTGAGGGGATAAGGGGAAGAAGCACTTTAAAAGTTAAAGATGGAGATAAAATTACCCCCCATAGATTTGCTAGTACAATGGATAAAGTCTTTATCCCAAACAAAAATTATAACGTAACACACAGAAAAAAATTTTAATAGGAAATATTCAGAGATTCCAGCTATGGTATGGTTAGCCCTTTTCTGTATGGAAGAAAGGGTGTTGATTTGGATGGCTTATGGACAGCTATTTAAATACCCTCTCCAGGGGAGAGTAAACCCTGTTGGTGACGACAGCTCCCACCATGGGGAGGAAAGCGCAGTGAATGTGTGAAGATGAAGATGGTACGTGGAGAGACAAGTATTTATAGCTTTGTAAACTCTAAAGAGGAAAGAGAACACCCTTTATTACCATTGGGGTTAAAAAAAAAAAGCCCCTATCTAAAAGAGAAGATTCCCATCTGCTGTAGACAGAGGAAATAAACATATTGACAGGAGTTCCATCGAAATTACTCCTAAAGTCCAGTTTTGATGCAACAGCTTTTGTCTGTGTCCTCTGAAACAGTGAATCCCCAAATCAGATTAGCTTCCAACCAGAACCAGTCTTGGTTATCAGTGGAATAAATTATTGTTTTGTATGGATCTTGGTATTTGCATGTTTTCTGAAAGGACAAGGGGGCCAGAGTGGGGTTTTTAAACTAGTAGATGAATCCCTGAAAAATTCCTTCTCACAATGTCCTATTGCACTCCATGTGCTTCTATCAGATAGATGCTTGGTCTCTACCTACTGAACCTACAGGCTCGTGTCTCACTCACACAACAGTTCCTACTTTACTTCCTCTAACAACTGCAGTGCTTTCAACAAGAGGAAAACAATAATAAAAATAGCAATAATCAAAAAGGTAATCTACATTATTAACTTCCTTTTGGTATATTACAGTGATATTTTCTGTACATGGCCCAGAACTAAGTTCCCTATGTACATAGAGATGTGGGGGAAAAGCATTGACCTTGGAAGTCACTGCCTTATGCCCTGAAAGACAAGGTTCCTTTCTTCATTCAAGAGTTTCTCACCACATTGCCATTGTGAAGTAGCAACATTCTGTAAACCTGGAGGGGCTAGGTAAAGGTCTGGGGATAGGAGAGTGGATCAGTTTCCTTCTGTCTCCTTCCACAGTCTGTCTATTGACAAAGCCCGTCAGCAGCTGCTGTTTTTGAATTCACCATTCTCCGTGATGGAAAGCTTGGTGGGGTTGGTGGGGGAGATGCCATTGCGGACCTGCATGCTGTACCGCTCCTTCACTTGGGTCAGCGCGCTCATCAGTCTGGTGTTGGCTGAATCCAGGGACACGATCCGTTTTTCCTACAACACACCAATCATGCCTTTATTCAGGCTATAGGCAGGAGGTAACACGCTTTCTTTACTGAGTGACTAGTCCAGTGCTTTCTCTCAAACAGCCGTATGCATGGTGCTTCCCAAATGGAACGTCTCTGCCTCTTTCTCCACACTGGTCAGGTTCAGCTTCCACTGAGCCCAATGGGTCTGTTTATTTTTTGTCTCTCTCTCTCTCTTTTTCTTTCAGCATAGCAGGGCTTTTTATTAAAAATCTCTTGGGACATTAGACTTTCATGTAAAAGTGATACCATGTGTTACCTGAGACTATGCAACAGAGGTATCAAGCTGCCTTACTATACTAAGTGCTTTAGGTCAAAATTGAAACATGGAAATTAGGTGGCAAAGAAAGAAGCACCAGAGGTTTCATTTCGTAGAGGAGAAGAGCATGTGATCTATGGGTTCTTAGCCCCCAAACAGGGCATATCAGTCACATTTGGAAAGAATTCACATTGTGCTCAAAATTAAAACAATACATGGTGGCAGTGTAGAGTCACCAACAAGGTGAGGATGCAACAGCAAGAGGGGAAAAAAGCAGCCAAAAAGCTCAGACCGAGGAGTTACTTGAATATGGGGAGGGAGATGTGGCTGAAAAGGGAATGCCATCAACATAACACATGAGAACAAACAGAGAACACAGGCTCCTAGACCCATTCCAGCTCAGAGTTACTCCAGGAGGGCTGCCCAATACGGAGATTGCTTTCATTTTACTTTTGAGTCTCTGAAAAAAAATGCTTTAGAAACAATATTTGGAAACCAAGCATTGGTGAATATACACACATAAAAACCAAGGGGGAAAAAAAGAGGGAAAAAAATAGGCAGTCTAACTAAAGGAAGTAGGACTACCTAAAATTTTTTTATAAAATCATTTTACCAAAACATTATCAGTCTGATAAAGATTAGGTTAGAAGAGACACCCTAATCTTAGCTTCAGCAGCTCAGTAAATCATTCCAGAACCTTTCTAACATGAAGTCTACAGTTTTCAGAAAACAACACAGGAAACAGTCTTTACCTATGCCTGTAAAATTAAAAAGAAAATAGCATATGGGGAATACCTCCAAAGCCAAAAGGAGCTTTACTACCTTAGGGGTCTTTTAAATTGACCCTGAGAAAAGCATGGTAAAGTTTAGTCATGGTAAAGTTCACAGAGGAGGTAGCAGGGCTGAGGGCTGGTGCTGCTCCTTGCTATTAAAACAGCAGCTACCCAGGGCTGTCACGTAGTGCTACACTTTGGGACACATGCTACTGGGAGCAAGAAGAGTGAAGACCACGGCCCTGGGGGAAAATTTAGGTAAAATCACGTACCACCTGGCATCAAATAATACTTCCCTTTACTCTCCTGCTTTCTGGGGGCAGGAAAGCAGGATCTGTAAGGTAGCAGTGCTGGTGGTCACAGTTTCAAAGTATATTAAAAAAAAGAAACAACAACAAACTAGCTCTTGCTTGTCATTATCACTTAAAAAAAATATCTTTCTTTCCCTGATGGAGAACTCAAGTGGTAAGATATACAAAATCAGCATTATTAATGACCCCATGCATCTGGTATAAAATGCTTTTCATTTTGGGAAAGTAATTCATTTTAAGGATAGGCAAAACTAAAGGAAAGAGCTGCAAGGCTTCTAAAAAATAATAATTGAAAAAATTATAACCAAAGAAGTTTACTGGGATAACAAATACAGATCTTTGAAAAGCCAATAGGTAAGAACCGGCCAGTGAATACTAGAAAACAAGAGGTAAGAGCTAAATGATATTCCCCCCTCCCTACCCGCATTATTAGGAATGATCTCTAAACTGAGTAACTGATAATTTCTTGAATGATTAAAGAAAAGATATTTCAGAATTGGGATAAATTATAAGGCCTCAATACTAAGGAAATTAGGATTCTCCAGGGTTCATCCAAAAATAAATCATTCATGAAAAACTTGATTTTTAAAGGGTCAAAAAGAAGGCTAAGAATGACTGTAATTACTTATTGCCTAAAAAGGTAACAACTGAAGACAAACAGCCCCACTACTAAACAGCAGAAAGTTTCCACATAAAGAAGCTCCCTTTGTGTTTCCCCCTATTGCCAACCACTCAAAATAAAACAAAATAGTTAAAAAAAATCAAATAGAGACTTATGAAAGTCAAGTTCAGTTGGCAAAAGATGCTCGGATATTTCAATTCTGCCTGGATTGTAAGGGAAAGCAATCTAGTCCACACCTGACAGGAAGGATTTCCATGTGGGGAGTGGCAGGAGCTGGAATGTGTAGGAGGCCAGTGCACTGGGCCAGGGCTGGGAACTGCTCAGCTAGAGAACGGACGCAGGGTTTACTTGCCTGTTTGAATAATCTCATCTCCATTTATGACCTGTAATTTAACACAGCGGAGATATCACTTGCAACAGTAACTAGGCAGCTGCTTTGCTTCTCATAGGAGGAAGCCCTTCTCTGTTCTCCACCTGAGTCACATAGAGAGATCCTGGGAGCCACAGTGTCTCCTCATGCTCAGGGGTGAAAGGTAGCACATTCTCTGGTCTGATATTTAAGAAATGGATCCTTATTATCACCACTAGGATCCCTATGGCCCCTAAGCTACAAGGTCCAGGATAGGTGCTTCTGCCACTCACCAAAAGGAGGGCTCATCCTTTTGCAGTTCCTGTTAGAAAGCGGCTGATGCAGGCCTGTGCCTTGTAGCATGAAATGACTCAAGAAGAGGCAGACGTTGAATTCAGGGACAAGATTTTCCTGGTGGGAGCACAGGGCTGCTGACAGAGATGAAAACCAGTTTACTGGGCACCTGTCTGGTAGTGTTTTGGGAAGTGTTGACCTGAGAGTTACTTCTCTGGGAAGCTTTCACACCAAACATGTCTTCATTCTATTAAATGATGCCAGAAGGGCTGCTCTGCTCCATCATTCACTTAAGAGAGAAGATTTATCCTTACAAAAGAAAGGATCTGATACAAAAGTCATTCATTACAAAGAATGCCAAAAGATGTTTAAAGTCATTTGCTATAAAAAGATTTTAATGTATCAATAAGCCAACAGTTGGAGTTGAGAAACCTTCCTTTTAAGGACATTATAATTTTTAAAAATTTAACTATAGTATTTAGGATTTGTGCTATGCATGGTGCAGAGGTTTTCCAAATATAGTTTAGTGAATTCTCCCAACTATTCTCTAGGGATCCACAGTGGGTTTCTGGTAGAATAATTTATTATATAGTAATATCTGTGTTTGGGTAGGTAATTTATTATATTTAACCAATCATAGTATGATTTGATTCATTAGTTGAGAGTGGTCCTTGCTGTTGAGTGGTCAGTGGAAGCAGCTGGATATTCATCTATGAAAGGTGCCTTGATTCTACCAAAATAGTCCAGAGAACCAAACCATTTCAAAACCACTGCCTTGAAGTATGGACGCAAAATATTAACTAGCTTAGCCAGACCACCAGTCTGACAGTGACTGATGGTTTGAGGATAACTTTTCTCCCATTCCTGCACATGACACCCTCCTGGTTAACTGAGAGACAGTCCTTACTTTCCAGAGCATTTGAGTCCTGATAAATCAGATTCCCTCCCTGGCTTTTACCTCCTATGCCTAGCAGGTGACTTCTGCTTTGTACCCAGTCGCCTAGCCCTAATATAAAATTAGGGGGTGGGATAGAAATCTTCAGGAGCTAATCATGAGGCTGTCCTGTCAGCCCGTGTACAGAACCACAGCTGTGGCACACCCAAGCTCCCTCTGCTTAAGACTATTTTTTTTTTTTTTTTTCCAAGACAGGGTCTCACTTTGTCGCTCAGGCTGGAGTGCACTGGTGCAAATACGGCTCACCACATCTTTGACCTCCTGGGCTCAAGCTATCCTCCCACCTCAGCCCCCCAAGTAGCTGGGACTTACAGGCATGAGCCACCATGTCTGACTAATTTTTGCATTTTTTGTAGAGATGGGTCTCACCATGTTACCCAGGCTGGTCTCGAAATCCTGAGCTCAAGCAATCTGCCTGCTTCAGCCTCCCAAAGTGCTGGGATTACAGGCATCAACCACCTTGCCTGGCCAAGAATGATACTTTTAAACCAGCTGAAATTATTTAAAAAGTATTTTATTGCTTAGCACTAACATCTCTCCTTGTGTGGTTATTGATAGAACTTTTCTTGCTTTATATTGCTATATTGAAATTTCCAAAGTGAAAACCTACCAACATTAGTTTTCCTGACTCAATTGCCTTATTTATCCAGGCAGTTTTTCTTAAGTCTCTGGGATGAATTTTTATAGTGTGAATAGTGAGACGGCCTAGTCTCCACTACCCTTACCTCACCTACCCTGGGGGCAACTAGAAAGATTTCTTTCAAAGGACCAAGTAAGATAATTACTATAGACCTTTCTTCTGATTCTCAGCATGTCTAAGTATCCAGAAACAATAGAGGTCAAGAATCCAAAATATTTTAAGGAACTGTGCTGATTGAGACAGCATCCTCACAACTCTCACCTGACTTCCAAGTCTACTGTGTTTAAAGAAGTGTGAGGCCCATAAAGCATTCTTTCCATGACTGCGCTTTCAGCTTCACTCTCAATTTTGTTGAAAAATAAACCCCATTCCACATGGACTCTGTAAGGAATCTAGACTGTTAAGTACATGTTTAAGCATACGGAGGGCTCTAAAATATGTTGATTACTAGCTGATACCTAGAGAAGGGAGTAGGCTATCTATGCATCAAATCCTTGCTCTCATTTTTTATTTCACAGCTTAGGGTTATGATATGGCATTTAAGGTTGAAAAATGCAAACCTAGATTGGCTATCTTCAGGGAAGCAACACATTCAGTGGCTAGATCAGCCACTATCAAAACTATCAAAACTGTACCTGCTTTTTGTTATTTGCTTCACTATAAGAAATACAACCATATTTTGCAATGATAAAATAAAAAGGAGTTAGAAACATTTCTTGCCTCCTGGATTTTGCTCTAATCATTGACATGTCCCTATGAGGTGCTCTTGGCAGCCTTTATCTCATTGGTGTCACAGGTGTGAGCTACAGTGAGCAGAAGCCTAGGTTCTGATTTCAACAACCTTTTCTTTTTTTAAAGTTTTATCAAAAGATGCTCTCTAAGCACAGCACCAACAAAGAAGAGCGGCCAAGCACATTCCAAGCAGCAATGCCAAACCCTAAACCAAAACAACAACAAGGAAAGGTACCTTTTTACAACCTTGTCTTTCCCTGGCAATTCCATTACTGTCTGGGGCAAAAGGTTGATGGCAGTGGACGTGACTGACAAGACCATGAACAGCACAGCCAAGCAATGGTCAGTGGAGGTCACAAGCCAGACACATGCAGTGCACTTTTCACAATTACCCCCTTAGAAAATGCCCTCCTTTCCATAAGGAAAGAAGCAAACCGCATCATGCACTAGGTTGAGATTTGTCAAGCAACTGCACTAAACACGCTAATACTTTGCTGAGTAAACAGACTTCTCACCAGTGAAAGAAAGGAAAAGTAATGGAGGTCACATAGACACTCATTTAATCTTCAAAACGTAATGTCCAGAACTTTTCAATGACCCATTTTCTGGTACCTGCCTTGGCATTTGCAAGGGTGTGAAGTCAGGAAATAATAGTTATTATAAACAAGTGCCTTCTATTAGATTCAAAGCCTGCTTACCTGTGCATCAATTATTTTCTGCTTTGCATCAATAACTGCTTGCATCTCAGCATGATCCTTCTTCAGTTCTTCTTCCACAGCCATTAGCCTAGAATGTGGCAGGGAGGAAATATCAACATCTTCAAAGAGAGGGCTAACTAGTGTAGGGAACAGGAAAACTCAATATCCTCTGCCCTTCTTAATAAGACACCTGCAACCATCTTTTCTTTCTTCTCTGCCACCTTGGAATAAGACATCTAAGGTCAATTTTTCTCCTTGTGCCTGGGTCCCACACATTTTCATCTCCTTTGGAACAGTAATCCCATAATCATTTCCTCCCTCATCTCTCTCAGATTCCTTCCTGAGCACAACTTATTTCATCTTAAAATATCAAATCAACAAAAACCAAACAACCCTCTCTTAATCTCAAGTTACCCTATACCTGGCCCACTTTCTCTTCCCTTGTACAGCTGAGTTTCCTCAATGAGTACTCTATACATAGTATGTCTAGCTTGTTTCCTGTCCACCATTCACATCTTAACTCATTGATGTTTAATTCTGCCAGTCTACCCAAACACCTCTCAGTAAGATGGTCAATTACCTCCACACTATTTAAACAACAAACAGTTCTGTTTACTTGACTTGTCCATAGCATTTTACAAATATTGAGGCACAGTGGTTATGAGCATGGAATCTGGAGTCCGGGGTTCAAATCCTGGTGCATCACTAACTATGCGACCTTGGGCAAGTGACTTAATGAATTTGTTGCCTGTTTCTTTATTTGTAAAACGAGAATAATAATGCGTAGGTGGAGGCTGTGATAAAGATTAAACAAACTATTATGTGTAAAGTGCTTAGAAAGGTGTGTGTCCCATGGTGAGTGCTATACAAGTGTTTGGTAAACTTTACCCTCCCTTTTTCTCCCTTGGCATCTGCAGCACTCTCAAAAGAGGTCCTCTGGCCCCAAAGATATTCCATAAAATTCCTTTCCATATTTCTGGACTCATTTTGAAAGATTAATTTAGTCTTGGGCATTGGATATTTACATTTTTAAAACCCAGTTCTCTAAGATTTCTCAAGTAAATCACCAAGTTTTAGTTTTTTCTAATTGTTATGGTTAAAGAAAAACAGATTACCTTCATAGGAAGTGCCCAAGGTCTCATATTTAGGATATTTTAAGAGATACAGTCAATCATCACATTTGTACTCAGTACAACAAGGATAAAAATAGCTTTTGCTGCCATTCCTTCAAGGTTCTGTGGATCATCTCAATTCTTTGTCTCCCTAACTAGCCCACATCTGCTGCCAGGTGATGTCTAACCTGCTGATTATGCTTTTCATCTGGCTGTCCTTCTCTTCCTGCTGTCTTCGGAGCCGCTCCTCGCTGTCCTCCAGTCGGGCCTTGTATTCCAGCAGCAGCTTCTGCATCTGCTGCTCCTGCACCAGCAAGCGGCGTTCATATTCCTCCAGTCGCCGGCTGGACACTCTCAGGCGCTCCTTCAGTTTAGTAATTTCTTGTTCATACTAGGGCAGACGAGGCAAGGAGAGAAAAACTGGAGTTACATTGCTTTTAGAAATCAATGATTTTCTTTTCTTTCCTTTTTTTTTTTTTTTTTAAACAAAAGAAACCCTAAGCAGTGTAGCTAGATGCTGGCTGTGCTGTCATTCCCTATACTGTTCTTAATATTCTTTAAAATTATCAACTGGCATAAATGTTAATGGAGCATTGCCTTCCTTACTAAAATTACATTTTAAATCTTAACTTGGCATTCCAAATTCTACATATGTATGTATCTCTCTCTACACTAGGCTACCATTGGTATAAGCCACATCCAATCTGTGACGGTATCAAATGAGAGAGGAAAAAAAAATAGATGAAGTACTTAAAAGTCTGACAAATCACTTAAAATAAGCCAAAAGTCAGTTGTCTATAAGAGAAAAAGATTCTGTGTCATCAGCTGCACTGTAGGATCTCTGACGTGTCTTAGCTCATCAGACTGCCATTCCTTTGTTCTACTAGAATCACCCCTTTAGAGAACAAGCAACATTTCTGTAATGTTAACCCTCTAAATCAATAAATAGACTTTCATGGCAGAGGTTATTGCTGCTTTCTTCCCAACTATAAAAGTGTAAAATATTCCAGTCACAGCACTAAACAAAGGCCTACATGTTCTCTAGGGCCAATTAATATTGCTTCTTGGCCCATTTTCACAATATGACTCACCTGCCCAATTTTGTACTGCCTGCTGGAACATACATGTCTGTGTTCTAAGAAGCTTCACATAAATTCAGTGACTCCATTAGTTACATGGCCCTTTCCTGTACTGTAGTTGCTGTGGCTGGGGTTTGAGTACACTGGAATCATCATGCTGATAAAAAGAAGCTAATTGTCTGGTTGCCAATTAAATAATATAATTCTATATATGATGTCAAGGTTCTTGTTTGATAACCCTTTTTCTCCTTGTCAACTTTTCTTCAAAAAACAAAAACAAAATCTAAACAACAGATAATATCCTTTTAACAATCATCTATAGAGTTATACATTCTTTATCCAGAAAAGGCAAAAACAAACAAACAAACAAACAAAAAAACGAAAACAAAACAAAACTAAACTAAAATCAAAACCAAATTGTTACCAAGATAAAAAAAAAGTCTTCCCCTAGGGTGATTTTGTCCTTGGGTGAAGACCAACAAGTTTATGGAAACATGAAATATTTACCTAAAATGACTACAAATGAATAGCAGAGTGTTCTCTAGATTAAGGCATCTACATTAAAAATAAAAATAGTAGCTGCCACCCCCCAGCAAGATGAACATTTTCCACGTATATTCACACACACACATTCACACACACCATGGACCTATTTTACATAGATATGTGTAGGATGATTAACATAAGGGGTAGAGGTGAAGATGGGGGTGGGAGGAGTTTATGTTCTTAGCTAGATAATCCTTTTAGAGGCCTGCCATTTTGGGATCAGTAAGTCAATGAAGCAGACTAGGTTCTACCTTCTCAGCATGCTTGGCTTCATCTTGATTTTGCTCAGTTTCTTCCACATCCTCTTCATACTGCCCATTGTTCAGAACCCAGGCTGCTGTCCTCTCTACTGGGGACATTGTGGCAGAGTCCACAGGTGACTGAACCTGCATCAGAAACAGTTATTAGCATTTCCCCTAACAGCTCACCCATGTGCTATGTTTCACAAACAGCTATTCTTGGAAGATGTTAACTGTGATCTCTCAGTTTTCTAATTAATGCTCTTAGCTTTAAGTATTATTCTACTAATGCCAAGGCTAGGGGTAGGGAAAGAGAATATACATTTATATAAGTGCAAACCATTCTGAATAGAAAGTTATATGTAACATATCCAAAAGGCATCCTTATTCTCCCTCTAAAGAAAGTCAAAGCCTTAAAATTGTTAATTTGCCCAGTGGTGCAAATACTGGTAGGTAACAAATTGCCTGCTGAAATTAATAAATGACCTCTACCATAAAAGTCTATTGATGATAAAATAACAGGAAGAAAGCATAACCTGAGGGTCAAAACATCTGTTTAGCCTAGACACAATCAGAAACCAAAAAACTGATTAGTGCTAAACAAACTCACAAAGTGCTCATTTATAATCAGAATGGCAAATATTAGGTTGGTGCAAAAGTAATTGTGGGTTAAATGGCAAAACCCACAATTACTTTTGCACCAATCTACTTAGTTTTCATATTAATGATTTAGAGAAAAAGAAGGACAAGTGATGCTGGTTATCTTTACAGAACACTGACTTCATGATAGATTAAGACCACTCAAAGGTCCTTATACTGGAAAATTTCTTGAATACAGGATCAAAACGATGGATACTGGGTAGTCTATTTTCCTAATCTACTGAATAGAGATACCAACACTGTCACTACCACCTATCTCGATCATCTCATAGGGAGCTGTGAGGATAAGACAATATATATCAAAACTCTTTGGAAACTTCAGAGTGCTACAGAGAGGTTAGATGTCAGTCATTACTATATTTATGTTTCAAAAACTGGCACTAGATATTACAATTTATATTAGGCTACTGAACATTAGTACTTTCCCCACAAACAATGATGGAAACACACAATTTTTTCCCCATCTGTCCTGCCTCAGAAAGAGAGAGTAAGCTACAGAGAGAGTGCAAAACTTGGCATGTGAGTTAGCCTTTTATAATTAAATAGAGGGATTTGCATTTTGAGGACCAGAATTCTATAATTTCATAATTGAAGGGCATTTTCTCTCCCATCACAGCTATTACATCTTAAGGATCTTTCTATCATTCTGAAATAGAACTCAGTTAAACTCTAAATAAATATTTTAAAAGAAGGGGTATTTTGATAAACTGGAGAGTGAGGAAGACCAGATTAAAAAACTGACTGCAGAGACTAAAAGGTTATCAGAGATGGGTTGGGAGAGACTTTAAAACTTGCACATGCAAAAGTAACACAGGGACATTTCTTAAAGATGTGAAGAAGGATCTGGTTTAGCTGATTTACAGATTATTGATATATATCAATAAAAATAGCTTCATGTCTGAGGATGGATGTGCATAGTTTATATAAATAGACATGTACACACTAAGCAATTGTGAATGAACTTCTAGAAATTTCTACTATTTTATTGGTCAAATCTTATTTTCAGCCACTTCCTAATATATCCTAGCACTTTCCTTGGCATACAGTAGGTGGTCAAAATAATAAAAATAAAAGTGACAAAATAGATCAATCCTAACTATTCCTTCTATTAATGATAAAGTCTTCACAAAATTGTAAAAAGGCTAGAAATATTGAATAAATAAAAAATAGTTATTGTGCTGGATTGAAAGGAAACAGAGGTGATTTTTGTTTCATGATTTTTTTTTGTTGTAATATGTTCTTCAAATGAAAAAACTATATACTATCTTTTATATATTCTTGGTCTTATAAGTGTTGCTCTTATTTTCCAATTAGTCAATCTAACAGGCATCATATCATACAGTTCTTTTAAATGATACTGACTAGTTAAATGCACAACAGATACTCAATAAAATATTATTCATTTATTATTCTGGATTATCTTTAGAATTAATTACTAAAATATAATTTATTACTAAGAGAATATTCTCTGTTTTTCCCCTAATCCTTTGGAAGGGCACCAAAGGATTCTTTTCAATGATTGTTCCATCTCCTTATAAGCCGGATAAACAGCAAAAAATATCTCTAGTTTATAGTCCAAGAAATTGAGGGAGGAGGTAAGTGGTTCAGATCCCATCTTGCCTAGGAATAGCCTTAGAAAGAGAATTTATATCCACTTTCAACATGATCATCAAAGATAATGAAACAAAAACAACAAAATCTAAACAACAGATAATATCCTTTTAACAATCATTTATAGAGCTATACAACAGGAATTCCCATTAGGAATATCTTCCCTTTGAGATAAAGCTGCATAGGGTCTCCCTGGAAAAACAGTAATGCTTTAGGGCAAAAGAGCCTGACGCAGCAGTTTCACTGAGACTACAATTAGTCACAGCCTGGCTATGCTGAGGCCAGTTCCTTGTTCCTTGCTAGTATTTACTAGATATAAACAAGACCAATTGGTTTCAGCTTCAGAGTGTGAAATAGTCGGATTCCTATAAACGAATTTCTGCTATGAATACCAAAGAAAGGGCTGATTAAATTAATCCATAAACTTTGGGAGTTCTTGAAGAGGTTGGTTAGGAGACAGCTCAACAAATCCAAATGTGAAAACTGCAGCATCATATTAATAGACTTGTCAATTATCTATTTTAAAAGGTCTCTTCAAATTCAAATTTCTAAGATTAGGGTACATGATAAATCTGAATGACTCATATATTATACAAAAAGTCTATTATTTGTACAAAGTACATGATACATAAAAAACAAAATAGAGAGGAAAATAAGAAAAAAGCAATCCAAACAGAGGCTGAAATGGGTTAAAAAATTAAGACAGTTTCTTGAAAAAAAATTTATCTGTAAATTTTTTCACCAGGATTTTATTTCCTTCCTACTCATTAGACGTAGAAGACCGAAGCCAGTTACTGTGCAGACAATGGCCACTACTTTGTGCTGAGATATAAATGGAATTTGCAGGCACAAAGCTACTGATAATTACAGCCACCTACAGAACAATCTCCACAAAGAAATCCTCTAGTTTCTGGGAGAGAATTCCCCAACACAATTTGCAATTAAAATATGTAAAGGAATTTGCCTTAAAAATGTGCTGATTATATAGAACTTCAGAGGCTTCATGGGAGTGAGATGAAGAAAGCAAGCAAGAAACAGAAAGATAAGAAATAAAAAACTATGCCAGGCGTGGTGGCTCATGCCTGTAATCCCAGCACTTTGGGAGGCCAAGGCAGGTGGATCACTTGAGGTCAGGAGTTCGAGACCAAGCTGGCCAATGTGGTGAAACTCCACTACTACTAAAAATACAAAAATTAGCCAGGCGTAGGGGCGGGCACCTGTAATCTCAGCTACTCAGGAGGCTGAGACAGGAGAATTGCTTGAACCCGGGAGGCGGAGGTTACAGTGAGCTGAGATCACGCCACTGCACTCCAGCCTAGGCAACAGAGCAAGACTCTGTTTTGAAAAAAAACAAAAAACAAAAAACTAATGATGTAAGTTCAAAACAATGAACCAAAAGCCAGTGTGAGAAAAAAAAAAGAAACTTGAACAATCAAAATAAAGTGATTTATGCTTCAACTGATATGACAGTGGCACCACCAGCAAAAGTATAAACTAAGATTAATATTCAAAGCTGTACCGGACATCTCACTGTGCCTGTACCCCACTTCATGCCAAAAAATATATATGTGACTCATTAATGGCTGTGACACAAAAACTAATTTTTATATTGGTTGTTTGGAGACTGTATGCATTTCCCACCTCCCATCCATCCAGGCAGTCCTCTATTTATAACCCACAGAAACATTTATTATGTGCTTATGTGATAGCTATTACATTTTCCTAAAGAAAAAATGTTATAAATGACAATTGGCTCCAGATGACCACAAAAAAGGCTATGTAATTTATAATATTAATAAACAATCAGCCTGAGTCATGGGCCTTCATGGAGTCACAGAGGACTCCATGATACAGAAGGAAAGGGTAAGCAGAATAAAAGAAAGAATCTTTATTTTCCTTTTCTGTACAGGGCTGGGCCTAAGCACACTTTTGAAAAGCAGGTGGAGGACACTTTTCCTGTCCTGTCCCTCTCTGCCAGATCTCATGCCCTTCACTAATCTTATCTTCAGTGCCCTTGTGCTGCTCTAAGTCCCTGAGTAGATATGTGCTTCTACACAGTATTCTGATTTCTAAAATTATGTATTTTTCCTTTCTCCACCCAATGAACACCTTAATTCTCTGAAAGTAGTTGGTCTCAACTAGAGTCTAGCACAAAAGTGATGGGAGGAAACTACTTCACAATAAGGTGGGCATGACTGATAGCCTCCTAACACATACATTTTATGTTTATATATACACACACATTTATGTATAAAAAATACATATGATACATATAAAAGATACATATTTTTCCTTTTCTTCAAATACAAATGCTTACTAAATCAAACAAGTTGGTAAATCTTTGGGAAATATAACAAAATAAAAATGAAAAATTTAAGACTGTAGAAAAACTTTAGTACTCAGTAAAAAATGACCAAGTAGGAGGTTTAGCCCAGGAAGTCTGCTTCCAGAAACAGTTTAAGTTAGTCATGCTTTTCATCCCTTCTTCTATTTCTGTATCCAAGGATTCTATAAATAATCCAATTAAAAAAATCAAAGTAGGTGTAAGGGGCTCTGATCATAGCAGACTGGAGGCAGACGCAGCCATATCAGTAAGTGCCTAAACTGTAAAAATGCAAATATATTACAGATACAAATTAGGATTTTATTGCAGTCTCCCTCCCCAGTTATTTTGCTGCATAAAAGGATTTGTCATAGAACTCTTTTAATCTCAAACTTTCTAGTACTATCATTAGGTTTCAAAAAAAATTCAACTAACACAATGCTTTTTCAGGAGAAAAATCTTTTTAGATGAAAGATATAAAAAGATATATATTATATATATGAAAAATTACATGAATGTGTATATATATATTTAACAGTAGTTTGTTTCAAAGGGAAAAATATGTATTGATGCTTCAAAATGTAATATGTAAGGAAGAAATGATTAATTTCTGGGCAAAGCTTTTTATTTGTCAAGAAAAAAATCAGAAAATCTTATATTATGATTGGATGTGATGTTAGCTGGGCTTGTCCATGTAAATAGAAATGTAAGGGATCTGCAAATGTTCAGAATACTTCCTTTTCCACCTGTGCTTCTATCTTTTTAATCTTTCCTTTACCTTGACTCTCTATGTGTTCAAGTGTTTATTTTTCTAGCCATTTCCAGGAAAAGGCACATGGGACTTTGTATTTCCAGAGAGAGTTGAGGGATGGAATGGAGAGCAGTCACATTAAACTCTTGGCTCAGAATGCAAACCTTTATTCTGGAAGCTTAAGAAAAAAAATTAAGAGGGATTAATTTTCAGATTCCCAAAATAATAGTTGGTTTTGCCTACAGATTTTAAGTATCTAATTATTCATTCAACATCACCGATTTGTTCTAAGTGTAAACTGAGGTAGTAGCTCTGCTGCTTGAAGAGAAGGGGGCCCCTGCGTGTTTGTTAGACTTTTAAGGGTAATGAGTCAAACTTCATTCTGCAGTCTCACTTAGGCAGAAGCTTCCCCAAATTTTCCTTTCCTCTTTCCATTTAAAGGTTGCTTTTAAGTGGAAATATTGTTAACAATAGGATTTCCCAATGATTTACGTATAAAGAACCAAAGAAACAGATGGACCAAGTAGAAGCCACGCCCCTTCAGCACTCACGCCTACCTGCTGTGTCTGTTGTCTCTGGATTGCTCTCACTTTGGGAACAGGGCTCTCTCTGGAGGAAGAGGATTGCTGCCGGGACCGGCTCCCATTCTGCACAGGTTCGGCCACCAGGGCTGCGGACGCCACTGACATGCTCCCGGTGCTACGTAAGGAAGCACTATGTGGCAGGGATGGTGGGGCTTTGGCTCGGGCACCTAACCCACCCTGGTCCACTCTTCGGATCTGGGCCTGCCCAGTACTATTTTGTCGTGGCAAAGCAAGAGGTATGTGTCTATCTGGCACAGTGTGCCGCCTGGAGAAGTCCTCACTCTGAGTGCTACGTTTAGTGAAATCTTCCATGCTGCTATTGCTGGGTCCACTAAGCTTGAAGTCTTCACTGTTACTTTGGCTTCTGGAACTGGCAGTGCTTAGGTTCTCCAAACTGGAATCTATAGAGGCCTTTGGCATTGCTGGAATTGGGTTATTGAGGTGATAGACAGGGTTCTGGAATGACAAGGGCTGAAGGCCACCTGGCTGGTTCAAGGCTGGGTGCAGGGGCCTTCTCACTTGGGGTGCACTTTGGGGAGTGCTCTGGGTTTCCCGCAGCTGTTTGATGCTGGCCACCTGGGTTATGGAAAGCTGGCTTCCGGTCAAGCGTATAGGCACATCAAGCATGACAGATGCATGCTCCACTTGAGCAGCATGAGTGTCCTGGAGGTCCATGAGGGAGACGCTCCGACCATTAGGAAGGCTACTTTCCCTTTCATCCTTTTCAGAATAAGTCATGCTCTGAGAGGAGGCTTGCTGAACCAGCAATAATGTTTTCCCTCTGAAGTAGCTGTCTGTGTTGTCCTGGCTTGGAGATTTTAGTTTATGCAAATCACTGTGGAAAAGGAAAGGACACTTAATTTCTCTTGAGACAACTTCAACATGGCTAAGATGCCTCAATTCAGGCATGTGAACTCCTCTGAAGGTTCTTATGTGGATACATACATTTCTTTGGAAACTCAGATTTTATATAATTAGGGAATTATTACAATTGTTAGAATAAAATCCAGCATTTTTACTTTTTCCCCAAAAGTAGAGAATAACACTGTAGATACCAACCCATCACTGTCTTCAGTTTTAACCAGGATTCCAATAATTTCCTAGTTAGGTTTTAAACCTTCCTGAAATATTCCAATTCATACTTACTTATCTAAACCTTCAAGAGAAGTTCTAAGTACACAACTGCAAGGTCCCTGCTAAAGGCACAAGTCTTGCCAATCCATAACACAGTCTAAGCATCAACATTGTATCTACCTGTCCAGCTGACATAGCCAGCTATAAAATGGTTTTCACCGAGGTTCTCCATGGTTTTTGAATGCTATAACGTATAGAAACATGAATTTCATAAAGCCTTTGGTCTTCCACTAAGCAAGACAGAAATTTTAAAAATATGCTGGGGAATATATTATAACTCTCTATACTACCATTCTAGAAAATAAGTTATCCCAGATCTTGTGCATTATGATGACAAATAATTGAACTGCTCTCAGGTCAGATGAGTCTTTAATTGCTTATGATTTTAAACTTGTAAATTCAAAAAATAGGTTGAATATACTTCTGCTAAATCTGAACATTATATTTCTCTGAGATATTGGTCACGTCCTCTCTTTCATACCTGTCAGTGGGGTCTTCAAATATTTTCTGCAGCCCAGAGGAGAGGCTTCCACTGACATTTGGACTGGAGTTATGTTCAGTGAAGCGTCTCAGTTGCTGTTGTATTGGCGTAGGATTAGTCAATGACTTGGTAATATCAGCAAGAACACGAGGGAGAGGCCCCAATTTTGCCACGGTCGCCTGTAGGAAGGAATTTTCACCCTAATTGGATAATAAGCATTGCGACATCCACCATAGATTGTTTTTGGCACAACGATGGCCATTGATGGAGGGGTGTAGGTTGGAGGGAAGGGTAGGTGTTTGCATATGGGAGTGGCAGGTTCATAATGCATTGTTATGGAGCAGCAGAACCATGGCGTCGAGATGAATGGAGGAGGCGAAACAGGGTGCAGCAGACATCGAGGAAAGAAAGGAAATTGAAATCAGGATTATGCAAATAAAAATTAAAAGACATGCTCAAAACTACCAAACTAATGCCATTCCAACTAAAATAGACATGCGAAGCAAACTAAATCTCTGGGAGGCTAGTAGATCAAGGTGGGGGAGGGTAGAGAAGAACCAAATTCCTTCTAACCAAAAGAACTTCAAGACCAGAGGATCAGCTAGCATGATAAACTTTCAAAGAAAAGGGATCATGTGAGAAAAGAAATGCATGCCAACATATAAGAAGGTGCTGCATTCAGGAATCCAGAGTACTGCAGGGCACACAGATGATACTGCCATCCACTATCCCAGTCAATCTCGGGAATCCCGACCCACTGCCAACTGAGTTTCCATCAGAAAGACAATTTTTGTTGTTAATTTAACAATAAAATCAGGTAAACTTTCTCTATGAGATATGTCTAGATGTATTCCTGGTTCCCAGGACCAAACACGGATTAAAAAGGAGAAAGTGTATTTACACAGCAAAGTGCGTTAAAAAGACCTTGATCCTGAATAAACCAAGCCCATTTCACAGGAAAACTGAACCTGCATCCCACTGAGATGCAGTTATTCAACAAAGACTAACTCTTTAATACTTGCGTTATCCATTTCAATCATTTTTTTCTTTAGGGAATTCTTACTCTCATGGGGTCTTAGGGGTCCCCTTCAACTGTCAGTCAGTTTGACATAGCTGCCTTTGGGTCTCTGCCTTCTCAACAATCAACAGACTCTTTTACCCTACTCAAACAGGTATAGATGCCACCAATGCCTTTACTTGCTCAACAATGTTGGGCTATGATTCATATGAAAAGGATTTACCTTTGGCATAGTTGCAACTTAAAACTCTAGCTAGCATTTCTAAAAGTGAAAAAAGGTCCTCGAGAATAAGGAACAGTTTACTGTTTCCCAAATGTTTTAAGCATTGGAGGGCACACTACCACTTATGTTTCCTCAGCAAAATGGCCTTTGTTAATACGTTTTATTCCCCTTCAAATTTTACTGGTATATCACTTTTATTGATAGGAAAATAGAGGAAAACAAATCATTATCACAGAAAAATAACTGTCTTTTGAAGTTATTCTAACATACCACCACACATATTTATAAAATGCCTGTAGCAAACAAAAACATCAATAAATAATTATTGTAATAAGCCTAGCCAAAGTCTATTAGACTATTTTTTACTACCAAATCTATTCCTTTTTGTTAAATTCCAGAAGGAAGAAAATGATTGGCATGGTGTATATTTACTTATTAATACGGTACATAATAAAATTCTTAGCAAACAAATGATTAAAAATAATTGTTCTCTGTATTCTTAATTCACATCTGTAAAGAAAGAAAACAGTGATTTTTAGCACTAATAATTATATGAAACTCTATGACTTGTATAGTAAAAAAATTTGTTTCATGGGCAAAGTTACTTAAAACATGATAAACCTAGTACTTTCTTAGCTAAATCTATACTTTTATTAGAAGTTACTATATGAGGTTTCATCTTATCCTATTAGACATGCATAAGGCTGTATATACCAATATATTAGTTTCTAATAAAGTTTTCAGATATGCACTCTGTATATATAAATTTAGAGAAATATACTCCATTAATTCAGATAAATATTAAAAACATATATTAATAATGTCATGGTTTTCTAGAATTTCACGGTTGTCGGTCCCATATTTTACTCAGAAATGATGACCACTCTCAGATTTCTAGGGTAAAAGGTTGCTTTCAATTAGCAGAAAGAGTGCTATCACTCTATAGGTACTTTCCAGAATTCAGGTACATTAAAGTCTCTATCTTCCGTCAACCTACTTTACCTTATCAAGTTGGGAAACTACTTCCCACAGTAAGGAATGCAAAACTGAAAGCTCTCGGCCCAGATCAATGTAACCATCAAAGCCTGGGGTGTTTGAGATGGTGTCTGGATTAGAGATCTCCAAAAGAAAGCGCTTCATTCCACCCCATTCATGTTCTAAAAAATCATTCATGAATGCCATGTATTCCTCTTTGTTACCAAACCTGAAGTAGAGGATGAGAAAATGAGAAAGAACATATTCAAGAGAGAGATGATCATTTTGCTTTGACTTTACACAGAATTATGACATTTTTTTTTAAATTTTGTGGAGGGAATGACTAATTTTATTATCTATAAGTAATAAATGCTATAACATACTTTCTTAATATCACTTTAATATTCCAATGCTTTGAATAGCTTTCTATTCTCTAAAGGGTAAAGCCAAACCTCTTTTTTTTTTTTTTTACTTCTGGTATTTGAATTTCTCTGTAATATAGGCCTCACTTACCTACCAAATGCTCACCAGTACAAACCTTCAATACTGCTAGTTTCTTCAAAGTCTCCCAAATATATTATACATTTTTGTCTTCTCCAAGCTTTTGCCCATGCTATTTACTTACACTAGAGAAAAACTTCTTTCCTTTGCCTATCTAGATTCTACCTATCTTCAGGGCCTAGTTTAAGTCCATAAAACCTGTTCCAAAATAAAATATAAATATTTTTTAGCTCAAATATGGATAAATATGTGTATTTCTGCATTGGCTTATATATAAATTATACAAAATTAAAATAGTACACCTCTAAAAAGCCACTATTTATACTAGAAAACAATCTGCTCGTTTTTTTTTTCTTCAATACATTGCTAATAGAAACTTGTTTTTAAGCATCAATATTGAATAAATCTTGGTCAATTTTGTAAATGTGAATTCCTTCCCAGCCATTTCTTTAACTTATTTTCTATAAATTATAAAAATAACATAAACTTACTGAAAAAAGTTTGAAACAATGAAAAGTAGAAAGAAAAAAGTGTGGATGTCTCATTCAAGCTACCCAAATATATCTGCTGTTTATATTTTAGTACATTTCCTTCCCAACTGTTTTCTCCTAATTTTCTTTTGAAAAATTTTAAACCTACAGAAAAGTTGAAAGAATATACAATGAATACCCATATGCCTTTCATCTACATTAACCAACTGTTATTTTTGCCAAGTTTGCTTTCACACCCTCTCTTTCTATACAGATTTTTTTTTTTTTCCTTTCTGGAACCATTTTAAACCAAGTTGCAGACATCACCTCTAAATAGTTTAGTGTCCATTTCTTCAGAATAAGGAATATCTCTTACATAAACCAATGCCATTATCACACTAAAACTTTTAAAAACACTATTCACGAATTATCTTATCTACAGTCTATATTTAAATTCCACCCATTGCCCCCAAAAGGACATATATTTTTTCCAACTTAAGATCCAAATAAGTTTCAAGTACTGCATTTAATCTCTTTTAATCTAGAACAGCCCCCCTCCATCTTTTGCATTTTTCATAAAATTGTCTTTTTTGAAGTGGTCAGGATAATTGTCTTAGACAATGTAACCACATAATTTGTCTTTTCTTCCCAACTTTTTTTATAGTTAGATTTTTGTATTTTCATATTGCTGGGGTAACAGTATACATACCACTTTTTATTCTACCCTTTTTTTTCCTACTAAAGCATTTTTATCAGCACTTTTAATTTAATTTTATCTTAATGCTCTATATTATTGGATAGTCTTTGTAAGCAGCTTGTAGTACCTGCAAATATTCCATTGAATGCATGTATCATAGGTTACTTAACCACTCCTCTACGAAGTGATTATTTAACTTGTTTCCAATTTTTTGCTATATTTATTAATATCACAGTGAAAATCTGGTAACCTGAGTGATGAGGTTCCCAACCCTCATCCAAATTTTAGGCCTCGAGTATTTTTTAAACTGTGTTTTTAAAGTGGTTACAATAGTATCACCTACTTGGCAAAGTTGGCCAGGTTCTGAATGACCTTGGCAATAAGAGTTAGAGTCCGAGATGTGCGGTCATCAGGATACTCCTGCATAAGGTTGAAAAGACTGGGAGACATAATGGCTGGACACAAAAAACGGAGAAATAATGAGGCACTGATGAGCCTCTCGCTGATGTCTTGCTTGCCACGGTTCAGGCACTGCTGCTTCCATGATGCAAACACTTCTTTCAACTCACGAGGGAAAACACTAGGGAAGGAAAAAAGTACCAAAACCTCTAAACACAGAAGTACCAGAACCCAAAGCACAAGTGATTCCACCCTGACCCAACATATCTCTGCTTAAGAGTCAGGCTGTGAGGAGGACCTAGTAGAAATTCTGGGATGAGGTTTTACCTGATTCATGGCTGAGAGGCGGTGGAAAAATTCAGAGGCCAGATGGAGACTGGAAACCCAAGGCTACAAAACTCTGGATTAGTTTAAATTTAGTTTTGCAAAGTGGGAAAATGGCATGAGGCTCCTGACTAAACCATCTGGTTTAGTATAACTCACCATAGTCTCTCCAAAGACTGTTCATCAAAAATCTTCCAAAGTTTCACCAATTGCTAGAGTTAGTGCAATGATCAAAATTCATGAACACATCTGTTCAACACTAGTAAATATTTTAGAAATAAAAAGAAATACTTTTGATATTAGAGGCTATAGTACTAATATTCTGGGGAGAGATTATATTTATGTAGATAGCCAGTTAAAAAGTACTTCTGCTTACAATGGAGATTTCAATTTTAGATGGGACTGTATTCGGGAAACTTTCAATTTCTCTCCAAGACCCTCCCCTTTGGTTGTAAAATAATTGTTAACATTGTGATGACTTTTACATGAAAAGATGTTCCACAGGCAGAGGATGAGATAAGCTCACCAGTAAGAGTTGATGATCTTGCAGAAAGCCAGCTCACAGCACATTTTCAGGTTGCTCTGATGGTCTATCAGTTCACTAGATGAACATTTGCTGGGATCCACTTCACAGTTCTCATCTGACTCATACAAAGCTTTGATAAACTCCCCTATTAGAAGAGAGAAGATGAAAATATAGCTATAAACAGTGTCTTCCTGAATATAATAAAAGGACTTACGATTTCTGTCCTAAAATGTATAATGGGGAATTCTTTTCTAGATCTGACAGGGAGGGCACAAAAGATGGCCCATGAAGCCTCATTGCTTTGGAACCCAAGAGTTGTCACATCCTACATACCATGTTTATTTTTCTTATCCTGGAAGTGGAATAACAGCAATCACTAACATCATCATCACAGTATTTATAAAAATGGTAATGATACTACTTAAAAAATGTATTAAACTAAATATATGTTTAATTAGTCATAAACTCGTTATTTGTTTTAAGGCTCGCTCTACTTAGGGGACTATTATTGTTATTGCAGAAGAACAAATGACCCAAGCTTGATTGAATAGTCCACTGAAGGTTTTAAGTGCTAATGTTGGTGCCAAATACAGATGCAAGTAAGGTTCTCTATGCTTACCTCTTGTAACGGAGACAGTCATTCAACACTGCACAATATTACAGCAGATCTCCTTACATAATCTGTATATGCTTTTCCATATAAATTTAGTTTAGAAGCCCTGTTCATATGGCCTATGTTCTAGAAAGATATACCCACTATTCCCTGAAAGAACAAATTCCTACCTTACCTGTTTATCCTCTAGTACACACCATAGCTTGTATATCTTCCACTACTTCGTATTTCATATTGTTTGTGTTTGTTTCATTTCTAGGATGAATACCTTTGGAGGTTAGGTACTAGGTTTTATTCATGTTCAAATCTTGACTCTTCTGAATAGCTCCCAAAATGTTACAGGTGCTCAATAAATATTTATCAGAGATGGCAGTATGTATTCTTGGTTTTTTATAGGTCTTTATGAAAGAGGAGTGGATCTTTCAAAGATTCTCCTAAATATGCGTTTATTACTTGAGGTTCAGGCTAGTTATAACAGACTTCATGAAAGTGAACAATAATGCCTGCAAAACTAAGTAGCAGCAGCAGCAGCAGCAGAAAGAGCATTTCTATCAAAGCAGTTAGTTTTTAGATAAATGAAAGCTTTTAAAAATACCTGTGACAGGCGATGAGAAGTGATAATTTTGAGGAAAAATGCTTAAAGAACAGGAAACAATGTGGTATACAGAAAGGAAAGTGGTGCACAGAAAAATTAAAGGCACTGAGGTCAGACACACTGACTGTGGGCCTTGGAAAAGTCACTTAATTAGTCTGAGTTTCAGCTGTCTTATTTGTAAAACAGTGTTAATAGTAAACACCCTGCAGAGCTGTGGTAAAGAACAGACATAATGCATGGAAAGCATGTAATATGGCACCTGGCTCTTAGTAGGAGCACCATACAAAAAGTATTTTAATGTAAAAATCATGCAACTTTTGAATAATTGTTTGTCAAGTGAAATGGCCAAAACTAATAAGAGCCTTTTAAAAATGTTACCAATTCTCACAAGATATGTATTCAATATGTTCTCTATGTCTCCTGTGCTATGTTTCCACAAATGAACTTCATTTAAAGAGTACCTAAATTTAAAACTAAGAAATCAGTGTCAAATATCCCATGTAAAAACTGGCCAAAGTCTACACCTGTATCCTAAATATTCTGTTTAGTGACTTCTTTTAGGTTATATGTATTCAAGGGAAAAAATACTAATATTAATAAAAAACATGAATATTAACAATATTTTTAATTCTTCAAGAAAAGCGCCAGATAGATAACTCCAGGGACCAGAAGTAAATTAATTGTCTATAGTACCAGCATAAAAAGTTTTTGTCCCTGATTATTACATATTTAAAATGCTCCAAAATAGAAAAATAATACTTTAACTGCTGAAAAAATAACTAGTGTTTGAACATGTAGAATGTACCATATTGAAAGGAGAGGCTTTTATTGATTTGTAACTAGAAGGTGCTTAACTGATCAAAATTACCAAGAGAGATTAAAAAACCCACTTGTTTGCCTTCTTGCATTTGAAAAAAACCAGAGCCAAAGGGGGTGCTCGTTATGTTGTTTACATGTTAAGTTTGTGCCCAGAATGTTCTATGACGTATTTTCTATGTAAATCATTAAGTCATTATTATCTAGCATAAAAATTACACATGTAGGAATAAGTCAACAAGGATGGACATATTACTGCTGAAAGGAATTTGCCTCCATTGCTAAAAGTGGAAATCAGGTCTTTTCAGGGCTTTCTTTTGTATATCTCACAGATAGTATTTCCTGTGTGTCACAGGATACCAAGGTGCAATCTGATTTCAAATGGAAAGGTAAAATAGGATAACAGATGGAAGATTTAAGTCTAAACAATGCAGAGTCTGTGCAGAAAGAGTAACGCTTTAATTAAGATAAGGACTGGCTAAGAAGCAGACAGATATTGTACAATATTACTGGCACCTTTTAAAATCAATTCTCTCTGAAAATTCTTCAAGCAGTCTGGAAACAGCATCTATTTTCTGCCCAAAGTATATGAAATATAGCAAAACTTTAATGAGAAGACAATACAGCCCCTGTCCTGAAGAAGCTTACCAATTAATTCTGTTTATGCTCTTAGAAGCAGCAGCCATTTTTACTACTGTGGCCCTTGCTCTTGGATTATAAATATTATTACAGAGATTTCTGAGGGGTTACTTGAATTTCTTCCCATATCCACTGAATTAATTTTCATGCCTCATTGAGCCCATCGGCCATTTAATCATTCACTGTCCTATCAAAGGACTGGTACCCACTTTTCGTTTTGGAAATTATTTCATTCAGAAATCCTGTTTAGCAGACTGAATTTTCAAATACGAATATTTGATTTCAAAGAAGCAGGTAGTCAATAAATATTCACTCCTATCTCCATAGAATGGAGAATACGGTTTGAGATGCTTTTTTGTTTTTTGGTGGACTTTTATAACAAAACACAAATCATTAAAGCAAATCATGAGATATAATTTATGACTGTAATAAGCTCTTTATGTAAATGACACTATAAACTTCTTTGTACTTTTCTTAAGCTCTTTATACCATTCTTAATGTCTATATGATTAGAGAAAAAAAATGACGATAAACAGGAAGACAAAAAATCTACTTCAGAGCAGAAACTAATTGTAGTAGCTAGTATAATGTGTCTGCTTCATGTAAACACACTGATCCTGTTTCTTTTTTTTTTTTTTTTTTTTTTAAACAGGGTCTCACTCTGTCACCCAGGCTGGACGGAGTACAGTGGTGTGATCTCAGCTCACTGCAAGCTCCGCCTCCTGGGTTCCCGCCATTCTCCTGCCTCAGCCTCCCGAGTAGCTGGGACTACAGGCGCCGCCACCTCGCCCGGCTAGTTTTTTGTATTTTTTTAATAGAGACGGGGTTTCACCGTGTTAGCCAGGATGGTCTCGATCTCCTGACCTCGTGATCCGCCCGTCTCGGCCTCCCAAAGTGCTGGGATTACAGGCTTGAGCCACCGCGCCCGGCCTGATCCTGTTTCTTGAATGACGACTCACTCTATTCCTTACAGCCTGGCTCCTCTCCTCCTGAAACCAGTGTGAGCGACCAGCAGTGATATTTAAAGTGCCAAATGCAATATCCATTCTTTTTCTTTACCTTCCATAATTTTCTATTGATGCTTTCTTCTCTATTGGTGTCTAGGACTCAGTATTTTCCTGTTTTCTTTCTTTTTGGATGCTCTCTCTTTCTCTGATTACTTCTCTGATTCCTCTTCTTCATTCTACACCATAAACCCAGGTGCACTCTAAGATCTATCCTTGGCCCGGTTCTCTTCCTGCTCTGGTAATCTTGCAGCTTCATTTAACCTCTCCACGTGCGTAAATTAGTCTCAAATTTCCAACAGCCAGCTAGACAGGTATCTTAGATTTCCTATCTAAAACCCCTGAGATTTCCTACTAGAACTTCAAATTGAATACATATGTAATTTCCCCTGTTTCACGCCTACTACTTCTGTGGTTTCTATTCCTGTTAAGAATCTCGTCATCCCCCTAGTCACTCACAAAACCCCACAATTCTCTGTAATATTTGTTCCCTCCTTCCTTCCTACAAACTGAAAAATTTGCCAAGTTCCATCAGTTCAACCTTACTATTTCTCATATCCATCTTCTTCTCTATTCTTACTTGCGTGATTACCCTCATTCAGAGTCTCATTCTTCCTTATTACAATGGCTTTTTTTTTTTTTTTGAGAAGGAGTTTTTCTCTTGTCTCCCAGGCTGGAGTGCAATGGCATAATCTAGGCTTACGGCAACCTCCACCTCTCTGGTTCAAGCAATTCTTCTGCCTCAGCCTCTTTAGTAGTTGGAATTACAGGTGCCCACCACCATGCCTGGCTAATTTTTGTATTTTTAGTAGAGATGGGGTTTCAGCATGTTGGCCAGGCTGGTCTCGAACTCCTGACCTTGGGTGATCCGCCTACCTCGGCCTCCTAAAGTGTTGGGATTACAAGTGTGAGCCACCGCACCCAGCCTACAATGGCTTCTTAATTGATTGGCTTTCAGTAGGCTTTCTTCACCTTTTTTTTAAAGACAAGGTCTTTCTCTGTCACCCAGGCTGGAGGGCAGTGATGTGAACATAGCTCACTGCAGCCTCGAACTCCTGGGCTCAAGCAATCCTCTTACCTCGGCCTCCCAAGTAGCTGGGACTACAGACGTGAGCCACCATGCCTGGATACAACTCGTCTTAGTCTGCTAAGTTAATTCCACTGAAAATACCCTGCTCAAAACTTTCAGTGGCTCTCCAATGATTACTGTAAACTTTAAATCTTCACCCAGGCATTTGAGGTATTCACAAACTGGTTCTAATTATTGTTTAATCTTTTTGTTTATTGTTCACATGTTTCTTTCATGTCTTTTTCTAGCTAAATGGTTTTATTCCACACATTCCTGGTTCTGTTCCACCTCTATGTCTTTTTGTTCATGTGTCCTTTTCCCCATGCTACTTCTTATCTTCTTATCTGCTCTTGCTCAATGTCTATTTTTAACCTTTCTATTCTTCAAACTACATACTAACATAAATGCATTTCACACAGAAAGTTTGACAATTCTATCAGCTGCATTCAATTTTTTAAAATTCTTTGCAAGAACACAGAATGTCTCTCTTTGGTACAGAGATATCCCTAATGTTATATCCTTATATTGCAAACTCCTTGAGGGTAAAAATCTCTCCAATCATTCAACATATTTTTACTTTCTACTCTTGATAGTCACACGTGGCTGTTGAGCATTAGAAATGGTTTATGCAAATTAAAATGTGTGATACATGTGAAATACACACTGATTTTCAAAAAGAATAAAAAAGTAAAACACCTAATTAATAACTTTTATTCTTTTAAGCCATTAAATAGTATTTGGATATACTGGGTCAAACGAATTATGTTATCAATTTCACCTGTTTCTCTTCATCCTTTTTAATACTGTGACTACTAGAAAATTTAAAATTACTCAAAAAATAAAAATAAATAAAATTACTCACACATGGGTCATATTATATTTCTATTGGACGGTGCTGCTCAACAGTCTGTGCAGGTAGTGGGGATATGGAGGTAAAACAAAGGGCTAGTTTCTTCAAGGAACTCACATCTGCTCTATCGGGATGTATATTAAAGTGACCAGCACAGTGCCTTACTCTAGTGGTTAATGCCTCAATTTCACGACCAAATCTGGAACTGCAAGTGTGTAGCCTAGTCAGCAAGAGCTACTGATTGGACAAAAATTAGTTATGTTAAAAATTCTAGAAACCTCAAAGGCAGAAATTTGTGGGGGAGTTGTGGGAAGTGGCAAGACTTTCTTCACTTTTGATTAGAGTTTTGCATGCATGATAACAAATGTCAGAGTAACACTCTCAAGACTAGGTAATAACATCATCATATAAACACCCAACACTTTGGGGAAAACAGACCACCTCAGATCTATCAGTGGACACTGCTGATATTACTGTGCATCCTGGAATCATGAAGCTGGGGACCCGGAGTAGCAGTGTATGCTGACAGGGTTTCTGTTTCTACATTTATTGTTATTTCTCCACTGGTGAGTACTGCAGAGACTTCTTATGGCCACGATTCAAACCTTAACACCTGAGTCAACTAGAACTAAATAACATGCAGAATTTGAGCTCAATTCATTTGTCTCATGGGGGTGAAATAACTTAAAATCGAAAGGTAAAGAAAAGAAAATAGATGTTTTTCTCTTTCATACCCAGTGCGTCATGAAGATACTGTTGTCCCACCAACTTGAGGTATTCCTCAATGGATTTGGTGGCAATAGTGTTCTCTCTGAAGATCAAGACATCATGTTCTCCACAACGATCCACCTCAGACATCACCAAGTCAGTCAGAAAATCCTGGTAGAATAATGTTCAATAAGGCAGAAAGCAACTGAATAAATAATATACATTAGAAGAGACTGCTGAAATATCAGACATCCTGGAAATGTTGCTTTAAAACTAAAGCTATCAGATTCATCCGAAAGGAAAAAAAGCAATCAGGATAAAATCTTAGGTGTTACTACCCCTACATTTAAAATTTCCTCAAAGATTTTCCATTGCACTTTTGATAAAGGCCATAATTCTGAATGTAGTCTACAAGTCCCTATATTTTCTGGTTTCTGTCTACCTTTCAAGACTTGTACCTTTTCTTTTTAGGTCCTTTAATACACCAAGCCCTTTCTAACACACACAATGTTCTCTATTTACCACAGAGCCTTTTTTTTTCCTCCCAAATACTGTTTTCAGTTCTGCTCTGCTCCCACCCTTGCTTCCACCCCTACTATCATGTAGCTCATTCCTGGGATCCTTTGGATTTTAATTCACACATCATTTCCTCAGTGAAGGCGTCCCTGACCAACATTGCCCCTGAACTCCATTAGTGAGCTGCACTTGCTCCATTTCATAGTATCATCTCTCTTTTTATCCTCTGCAGTTCTCACTGTAATCTTATTTATTTCTGTAATTACTTGATTAATATTTATTTTCCCCAGAAAAACCAGTTTCTGTTTTTGTTTACCACCATATCTCCAGTACCTAACAGTTTCTGGCATATATTAGGTGTTCAATATATAATAGCTACAAGTTGGTCCACAGTGTCAATGTAGAGTCTACTGAACTCATCACTTGAAGTCACTGTCTAGGCTATCTTTCTGTCTGCCCGCCCATCCATCCAACCAGAAGGACAGCATAAGGGGAAATAAAGGTGCAAAGAAACAGCTGCTTCATTCCTCAACAGTCTTAAAGAACTTCTTGTAAAGCTCAATATTGGTTGTTCAGTTTGAAATGTGATAACATCGTATATTTTGAATGCTATATAATTATTGGATATTTCAAGGGCTGCAAATGTCAAAATAGGAGGAATATGCTGATTTACTTTTACTTTAAAATTAAGCATTTTAAATGTCAATGGGACTTACTCTGGGGCAGTTTAACAGTATAACAGAGTTGTAGACTTAGGAATCACTATTAAACTTAATGCTAAGAGACAGGAGGAAACTCTTGGGGGTAACGGTAACATTCTGTATCTTGATCATAGTGGTGGTTTCAATGGGTGCAGAATCAGTCAAAGCTTACTGAACTTTTCCACTTTAAATGGGTGTTTATTCTACCTAAAGTGTATGTAAATCAATATTGTTATTTAAAAAAGCCTTACATATATTCTGAACCTTGAGCAACTGAAAAGTAGAAACATATCCATACAATTCAAAATTTCAGTGACACCTCACTCCAAACTTGTAAGTTTTTTAAATGACAGAATGCCCAAGATTATCATTAGTAGATTGAAACACAAAAGTTATAATCCATAGAAGCCAGAGAAGAGACTAAATATTGAATATATTGATATATTCTGACATATCAAGAAATAGTAATAGTACTTTATTTTGTTTGGTTCTAAATACATTATTCTGGCTGTGAATTTCTTTGGATCTGAGATGTAATTTTATTATGACCAGTTTGCATACAGTATAATGGTAACTCTTCGTAGTTAAGTGAATATCCTTCATAGGTCAAAGACTCTCTCAACTGATTTTTGTTCTTCCTATAACCAGCATATTTCTCCTTTAAAAAAAAATATTCCTGAGTTTTTACTTCTATCCAACGTGAAGTAAGATAAGTATATCATGAAACAGCTACCAATTGTATAATATCCCTTGGATTTTTATTCTAAATATAGATTTTAATCCCACAAAGACTCTTGCTAATACCCAATATGCTTCTGGAATACCTCCTTCTGTGCCTACAGGATAGCGCCATCAGTTAATCTTAAACAAAATACAGTGAGGAAGAAAACCACCATACAACACTCTAGAACTAAATTAAAGGTAAGGAACCTTGAACATGCTGTAGGGTTATCATGCCAATTCTACTATTTATTTTGTCAGACAAGAAAGAGCTGGCTGTGTTATCTATGTTTCACGCAAATGGACTTTAAGTGTTTGTTGGTCTCTCCATTTTACTTGTTTAGTTTTCTAATCTTCGTCTTTTCTGGATCTAATAGGTTTTCTTCTTAATTCTTCTTGTTTTTACCAGTAGTAAAGCACATTTCTCTAATTTGGGTTTCTACAGTATCCATTATTTTGGTTTATGAAAGGTAGGGAAGAGATTTCAGGTACTGCAATCCTCCTTTTTTACTTACCTTGGCTCTGCCAGTACTTTGAAGAATGTGCACTAAGGCACAAGCCAACTCCTCTTTATTTCTCACACTAATTACTGGCTCAAGGACAGAACACAGCATGGTGTAGTTGCTGGTGACAAATTCTGCAAATTCTTTATATTGCTCCATAGGCAGAATGGTGATAGTTTGGAAACGTGATTTAATCCGAATAGAAGGTCCTCCTGTCTTTCCTTTGTTGGGTGTAGGTGTACTCACCGGATACCACTTTTCTACAAATTGGCGACCAGTCACACTGGCAGTGGGGATGTTGACTAGCCCTACATAATTATTCTTGTCTTTTTTTTTCTTTTTTTCCACATCCTTGTAAATGTGAACTGTGATACTATGAAGAGGTGGAAGGCTGAAGAATTCAAAATGTTCGCCCCAGAAAATATTGTCTGCTTTGGTCTTGCTGGTTGTACGAGCAAAGAGGGTATCATCAAGGCACAGTTCGCAGAAATACTTCTTTTTAGGGGCAAGGTCCTTGGCTTCAATGATCCATAAACGAAGAACATTTTCAGCTCGCCTGCAATTGTCCTATAAAGAAGCAACAAAGTTGAATTTCAGAGCTGACATTGCAGGAAAAAAAAACATTTTTTTCTTAAGTTGGCAATGTTCATTAGGTACTCTATTAAGGGGAGTCAACAAATAATGAAAGGGATTGCTATCTCATTGCTTAGGTTAACGGCAAGCTCTAAACAAGAATGCATTAGAATCTTGAAGAATTACATATAGTTCATTCTATATATTAGTTCATTACATATAGTTCATTCTATTTTATTTACTTGGGTTAAGAAAATATCATTTTGTAATGGTAAGTTTTCATATAACCAGCTTAATTTCTGCAAATAAAAGAGATAAATTGTTAAGAAGTTTGTATTCTAGTCCCTCTTCTATCATGTACTAGCTTCTGACATGGCTAATTCACCTAACTTTTCAGAGTCCTTTTATCCATGCTGGTAAAACCATGGCAATAATATTTGCCAATAATATCTGCAGTAAGACTATTTTTAGCTTAAAATGATAATACAGTTTGGATATTTGTCCCTGTCCAAATTTTATGTTGAATTGTAATCCCCAATGCTAGAGGTGGGGCTTGGTGGGAGGTGTTTGGATCATGGGGGCAGTTTCCACATGGCTTGGTTCCATCTTCCTGATACTGAGTTCCTGTGAAATCCAGTGGTTTAAAAGTGTGTGGTACCTTCCCCCCAAATCACTCACATACACATTGTCTCTCTCGCCTTGCTCTTGCTTTCACCATGTGATATGCCTGCTCCCCGTCTGCCTTCTGCCATGACTGTAAGCTTCCTGATGACTTCCTAGAGGCTGAGCAGATAACAGCACCATGCTTCCTATAAAGCCGGCAGAACTGTGAGCCAATTAAACTGCTTTTCTTGATAAATTACTCAGTCTCAGATATTTCTTTATAGCAATACAATAATGGCTTACTACAAATGGTGTAACATATAAATGTGCTTTAAAACTCTCAAGCTGTAGACAAATTAAGGTATTACTACCACACTTACCTGCTATTAACTAACTGCTTACAAAGTTATACATTTTTTTGATACTTGAAGCTACTATTACCTTATTAGGTTGAACTGTCCTGCGAAGGTTTTCCATCCACTTATCTCTCTCAGAAGCGGAGTTACAGCTGAAGCATTTACTTCCACTTAAGTAGGTAACCTTCAACATAAAAATTAGACATAAGAAAAAGAAAACACTGGATTTCAGGGCTCTATCATTTGGGTTCATAGCATACCTCTAACTCTTAAATGATAAGGTCAAAATGTCCTGGAATTAGGATGGATAGATGGATGGATGGATAGATAAGAAAAACATGGTCTCAGATCCCGAACTACTCATGCTGTGGTTAGAAAAATAACATAATGAGCGACATCCTTACCAATACTAAAAAATTAATATACTAATTTAGTGTTATTGTTAGTCTCGTCCTCTGATGAAAATGTACTAAGAGTCCAATTTTATTGAAAGTAGACAAGGCCAAAAGGAATGCAGAGCTGTGAGTTAGACATATGCTATGAACCCAAATCATACCATAAGAAACTAAGATGATCTTTACTAGTTTTTTGATACCTATATCTACATCTACATCTGCTTTTTGGTTAGGTGGCATCCACATCCATTTCCAGGTATGAGAACAAAGGCCATTTTAAATTCAGCCGAGGAAATTAAAACTGGCCTATGGTTCAGAAAATCAAAATTAAAGGCCTTTTAGGCAATACCTTAAATTACCTGCAAATAAATATGTTCAACTTTTAGTTAATAAAAAATAGGTAATAAAGGATGAGAGTTTCTGAAACAGCTTATCAGATTTCTTGAGACTGTCTTCACTATATCATAGAAGGGTACTAAATGAAATCAAAGAGCTACTAATATTGAATTACTATCTTTGGAACCCATTTTTCCTCCACTAGGCAACCAGCCTGTTGATTTCTAGTCATTTATTAGGTTAACCTGACCACTATTAACATAGTCCTTTAAAAATGAAATATGTTGTTATATACTTAGCACCTAACTCTGGGCTTGGTATACAGCCTAATGTACTGAGTTCCACAAACATGAGAAAGTTCAACTGATTTTTATAAAAAAGAACACCAATAAATGTCCTGCCTAAATTGCTGAAGTTTGCTCACTTATTAACTCAATCTCTAGTCACAACCTAATAAATCCAATCAGATTATATGTTCTGTCCAACACAGCAGCTACTAGCCTCACATGGCTATTCCAGTTGAGATGTGCTGTAAGTGTAAACACACATCAGATTTGAAGACTTAGTTTTAAAAAAAATGAAACAATTTCTCCGATAGTGAACATGTTGAAATGATAATATTTTGGATATGCATGCAGCTTGTACTATATTTCTTTTGGACAGTGCTGGTCCATCAGAAGAGGAACCAAACATCTTTTGACTTCTACAACATCTAGTATAGGACTCATCTCTAGTCACTTAGTAAGCTCTTATTAATTAATCAAGTCTCAGCCCTAATAATTCTATGTATGTATAAATATATGTATATATAGTTTTTTAATTTTACTTGTAACTGGCCAGTAGTATATATTTGAAAGGGAGAAATTACCTTATGATAGTTGGCAATTTTGTTTATCCAAAAATCAGGCACCTGCAATGTGCTGGGGTCTGGGTTAGGTACAGGGGATTTCAAAAATACATAAGACATTTAGGTCAAAATGTCCTGGATGGATGGATGGATAAATAAGAAAAACATGGTCTCAGATCTTGAACCACTCATGCTGTGGTTAGAAAAATAACATGATGAATGTCATTCTTACCAATACTAAAAATTAATATACTAATATAATGTTATTGTTAGTCTTGTCCCTGATGAAAATGTACTAAGAATCAAATTTTACTGAAAGGAGACAAAGCCAAAAGGAATGCAAAGCTATCTTCAATAACTTTAGCTGCAAATGTGATTAGATGAATAGATTTCTAACTTTTTCTCTGTAAGTAGATAATTTCTAGCAACTGAAAACCAGTTAATTAAATCACACAACTGCACAGTAATGAAATCGCAAAATTACTAGACAGAAAATCCAATTGTTGTTTAACTATTCTTCCTTTTTTCTACACTTTATTTTTACCTCAAAGCAGAAGTCTTGTCCAAGGATGCTACTATGAAGTGGTTTCACTGATACAGGTTCCCCTCTACCAAGATCTAGACATTCCACTGCGCTGCATGGGCTCAGCAAGGATTCATGGGAACGTGACTCTTTTAGTTTAGGCAGCCCACGAGACCTAAAAGTAGAAAAAGATATTTAAGATAGTGTAACTTGGCCAGCAAGGAAATGAAGGTCTAATGCAACGTAGGATAACAATAAATGTACAAATGCCTAAGGGAAGAAATAAAGGAGGAACAAATTAATAGTTAATCTACAGTTACAGTAATAGTAATCATATTTATGTGGCAAATATATTCTCTCTATAAAACTATGTGAGTACACACACACTTTTTTTCAATATGGCATAAAAATATACTATAATTTTACTAGTCTTAAGTGAGCTTCAAATCCCATTACAGACATTGTTTTTTATTCTCATTCCTATCTTGGAAGATGGAGAGACATACACTCTTTTTTTTTTGAGACGGAGTCTCACTCTGTCGCCCAGACTAGAGTGCAGTGGCCGGATCTCAGCTCACTGCAAGCTCCGCCTCCCGGGTTTATGCCATTCTCCTGCCTCAGCCTCCCGAGTAGCTGGAACCACAGACGCCCGCCACCTCGCCCGGCTAGTTTTTTGTATTTTTTAGTAGAGACGGGGTTTCACCGGGAGGATGGTCTCGATCTCCTGACCTCGTGATCCACCTGTCTCGGCCTCCCAAAGTGCTGGGATTACAGGCTTGAGCCACCATGCCCAGCCGAAACATACACTCTTTAAGGTTATCTTATGTATTCTTTCTTATGCAAAGGTATTGCCAAAAGACAAATTATTTCTTTTTGTTTTTCATGTTATAGCTTTATCCTCTTATATCACTGACAAAATAGTAGTGGCTGAATCTTCATTTTGTTTCTTTCTACTTTGGAAGAACACACACACACAGAGTCAAAGCTAAGCTTTTTAGCACAAGACCTTGTCTTTCAAAAGTACTGATTTCCATCTCAATATAGAATTCTTTTCTGGCAGGCTTTTGGTTCTATACATGCTTTACTGTATAAGTATGAATAAAGAATAAAATGCCTTGAAGAAACCTCCCACCATGGAAAAAAAGGCCCAAATTCTCATCTAGAAGAGAGATCTTTGTCAGCACCATTCAGTCATCCTGGCTGATTTTGTTTCCTAGTTGTTTATAAGAAGAATGCTAGGAATCATGACTCTTGGCACTACAAGAGCCAGTACTTCACTGCCTTCCTCTTGAAAGAATTAAAGGAGTCAAACATATGAAGTACAATATTCTTGAATGCCAAACTGGATGGCCATGCAGTTTGACTCAATAATTATAGTATCTGTTGCAGGAAACACCCAGAGTTACATACATATATTTCAAGCAGAAGTACTTAGTAATAAGGATAAAAAGAAATGCCTTGTGTAAAGACAATCGTTTTTATAAAACACCGTAAATAAGCAGCTTCATTAACTACCTTGAAATAACTACATTAACACTAAAAGGAACTTAAATATTTAATGTCAGAATAGCTTTTGGTTAAATTACAAAGTAAAAAGATATAAGAAACTAGCACTAAGGCTGCTTTCTCCTTTCTACCTTTATTCTAACATTGTTTAATCAAATTTCATAAAATAAGAAAAATCTTAAGCTTACAAGGATTTTAGTTCTTCTTTCCACACACACACAAAAATAAGCCACCATTTAAAGTTTAGGCTGCAAAACATGTGTTCTGATATTTAGTAATTTTTAAAGTAAAAAAGTCAACATTTATATTTCTTGTTGATAGTACAAAGTATGCGCAAAAGAGACAAATGCTACCTAATGTTTTGTATCTTAAAATGACAATGTTTAGTTTTCTGATATTGGTCAAGAACAAAAAATTAAAATATTTAAAAATAAAAAAACAAAAAAATTACAATGTAAGCTCCATATTTATTTCCCTTTGTTCTATGTATAAGACAATGACATGTTATGTACTGCAAATATAGTACCTCAACTATAAATAATTAAATGTTAGAAAGATTATACTTTAATTATCATATAATCTTTCCCAATATGCTATATGGGAAGCCTGATTCAGGAAACTGGACACTGCAATCTTTCTTAAACAAAACAACAATTCTAGCCCATTTTTCCCAGGAGGAGTTGCTGGAAGGAAAAATCCTCTCATGCTCTGGGGTGAGCATTTCAACAGGAAAGATTAAGGCATGTTTAAAACAGAAGGAGGTATGACAAAGGCTTACTTTTATTTTTTAAATTCTCTAGGAAAAATTTCTAAAGCATAAATTAATTTTATTTCAAACAAAATAAATGTCTACCTACATGAAGCAATGGTAGAGCCACCTGGCAGTGCAACCCCAAATCATAGCGATGCCACATGTCCCGGTATAGCAAGTCACTTTCTGAGCTATATGTCAGAAAACAATTCTCTGTTTAGAAGACGAGAACAAATAGAAGATGGCTTCTTTGTTGCCTTTGGTTACTGATAACATCTTTGAATAAATGTTTTCCAGGTGTTATTTCAAGCCTTCCATAGAAGCAGAAGAGAAACACAAACAACAGATCAAGACTTCATCTATCCAATTTGTAGGATAGGTAATATTCCTTCAGGCTGCACCTAGCCCCTCAGGTAACAAATAAGGCACCTGGGCTCTAGGCTGGGCCTGTTGCCATGGTGCTACACGTATAAGGAGATTAGAGCTGGAAGGCACCAAGGAGAAACTATGTTGAATAACGCAAGGGGCATGCTCTGCAAACGTGGCAAAGTTGACTACTTTAAGACAGGAAGGAATGGTGAGGCTTCTATCCATTTCTATGAACAAGTTCACAGTAAAAGGCAATAGAAAAGAGATGAGGCCAACTCTAGGAGTGGAAGATAATCTCTTATTAAAACCTCTACTAGGTGGCTCACGCCTGTAATCCCAGCACTTTGGGAGGCCGAGGTGGGCAGACCACTTGAGCTTAGGAATTCAAGATCAGCCTGGGCAACAAGGTGAAACTCCATCTCTACCAAAAATACAAAATAAATAAAAAATAAAAAGTAAAACCTCTACTAGGAACTAACCTGAGAAACTTTAGCTTGCTTCATATACAATTCCCACGCCTTTACCAGAAGCTATTTCCTATATCTCATCTTGCAAGTACAAAGCTTTCTCTCACATGTGTTCTGTTTCCTTTACAGTGCCTACTGGTGGTTTAATGTTTCTAGGTATTATTTTACTGAAACTTACCTGGGTTATACATATTTTTTTCTTTTAGAGAAAGATGGTGAAAACTATTTTTTTTTCACTGCATTTCCAGTGCTGAACAAGTTTCATTTTGATACTTAGGTCTAACTTCAAATGTAGCCATAAGAAGATTTAAAACTAAGCCACTTGGAACTATAACTCCAAACTCCTCCTAGTTACCAAAATTTCAATTAATACATAGTTCAGAATCTCATATTTTTTAGCATTTTTATGTGTGTGTACTGAATTGAAAACCAAAGTTGCTAATATGTTCAACATTATTACTGAATAAATAAGCAAGCCCTCCCTGTATTGGGAAGAAAGTGTCTCCGAGAAGACAGAAGTAATTCCCAGAGAAGCATAGTAAACAGGAAGATCAAACAGCCTGGGAATGGCTTGGGACAGGGGAGGCATTATTTATACAAATATTTCAATATAATAGCATTAGTAACCCCAAGTTTCTTCTAATTCATGTTTACCTCCTCCTGAATTGGTTTTTCTTAGATCTACTAACTACAGAGTTTTAGTAGTCCTGTGTGGCACCAGAGTTTACTCCTCTAATGGAAAGCAGAATGTGGATTTATTGGGAGAATAATGAGTTTAAAATAACGATTCCCAGTCCAATCTGACAATGGCCTTCATCAAAAAATCTAACCCATCCTTGAAAGTGGACTTTGTGAATCCCTTGACTACGGGCCAGGTTCTCTTCCTGACTATTTTCCATACTGCCCCATCATCCCAAACACCATGTAAGAATAATTCATGTATTGATTTAAATGAAAAAACTGCTTCCCAGAGGCAGTTTTACTTCTAATTAAGGAACACCATATTCTTTATATTCTTATCTTAAAGTGAGCAGACAATCTTGATTTGTGTGTAAACTTCAAGACCTCTAGCAATGTGATAGGTAATGGTTAAAATCTAATTGCTTTGCTGATGAAAATTACCTGCTGCTTCTGACTTATTTAAGAAATAAACTACAAGGCAGGTGAGGCTTTCTATTACTCACTAAAGTGAATGAGTATTATATTGCTTGAATCCTTACCACTATACGAATCAGTCTTAAAAGATAAAAGTGAAGGGCTGGGAAATGGGGAGCCAACATACACATAACAGCAAATACACTGGTGAAGAAAACGGGAATAAAATAACACTGATTAGTGCAATTTTAAGTAAAACACAGCTGGATTTTCTCAGCTTAACTGGCCAATTTTTCAAAATGCCACATTTCCCCCACAGCTCCAATGAGGCTTGGTGGTGCTAGCTCAATCTGCCACATGTTTACAGATTTAGTTCCAAATTTAGGAATTGGGAAACTTTTAATTAAAAATGCTTATTGCCACATAAAATCCTGGACTCCAGTGCAGGTGAGTTTCTGCTTGGCTTGGCAGTTATGATTCCAGACTGCTTCAGTGAATTCCTCATGAGACAGCTCAGCCAGTAAGCTGGGTGCAGCAACATACTGTTGTATTTATCAGTATGCATTTCTAAGGCACTCACCTTGTTTGAAAATGTCCTAGGTAGTAATTAACAAAATTGGGTATCCTAATACTCTACCAGCAAGTTTATATAGTGTCTAATCAGTTTTTTAAAAATTGAATTTGAGCTTTCACTTTGGGAAAAATGTAGCTTTACCTGCTCCCTGGATTTTATTATTTTCCAATTAAGTATTTTGTGAAAATATTCAACTGATGTTTGCCATTTGAAAGTGCAGATCCTTTCTTGTATCATAATTTTAAAGGTTTCCCTCCCTGGATTAAAAAAAAAAGAAATTAGAACTCATTTACCAGAGCTCTACTTATGTGCAAAGACTTGTTCGCCCTGAGGATCCTGACAGCACCGGCTGAACTGGTTTACCTGCTGTAGTTAAAGCCAGTAGTCTCTACTGCTTATATTACTCACTGATT